TTAGGGAAGGCTAGCGCAGATAGCCCTCGTGTAGCTTTGCGCGAAATTCAAAAACAAACAAACCTTTCAAGCGCAAGCCATGGAACCTATTAAAATATAAATGGAATCACTGACTCACAAACGTTTAGATATCATGGACAGCATACTTCTACAATATATATAAAGAAAACTGAAAAACAATTAAACTTAATATGTTCAAGTGGATATGTAACATGGAATGATCAAGATGAAGTAGTGATTAATGGAAGCTCTCTCCTGAACAGTAGCATAATCGAACTGATCATTGATGTATTACGGAAACGAAGGAATTTCAACCCTACTGGATGGAAGGAACTTGCAGAAAAATTATCAGATACGAATATCTCACAAGATGTTGTTGGAAATGTAGACAGATGGTCGTATATGAAGCATGAAAATCATACTGTTAAAAGACCCAAACGTACTCTATCTACATGGGCCCATTTTTTAATAAATGAATGTTGTATTACCTAATCATTTGTATCTTGATTGTCGTCATGGACTGTTGTCAACTGCTGAATCCTGTTAATATTATCAGTCATCTAAAGTTCAACTTTTCCTGCTGTAAAGGACAGATTATAACTATCGCTACAGACAGTAAACCAAGTGGAAGAAGTTGGTTCAAATTAGTCAGACGTAGCAAATCATATCTAGTAGGAATAAAACTCTACAATCTATTTATTATAATAGTTCACATCCTGTTAGTTACGGTGATGTACAGGATTTATATAGGTCAGTAAAATTATTAGGTAAACTCTTCAGTCTAAATCAGGTCAAGGACTGGTTAAGACATCAAGATACATATACACTACACAAACCTGTAAGATATAGATTTTCGAGAAACAGAATGATTGTTTCTTGTATTGATGAATAGTGGCAAGCTGATTTAGTAGATCCATCTAACTTAAGTCACACTAGCAATCATTTTAAGTATTTGCTGACTTGTATTGACGTGTCTTCTAAATATGCATGGGTTTTTCCACTCAAAATAAAAAAGGAGTGACAATCATAAAAGCTTTCAAACAAATCATAAAACAAGGTCATAAACCTTGTAAACTTCTAACCAATGCTGGAACAAAGTTTACTAATCGACTGTTTCAACATTATCTCAAAGAACAAGAAATTAACTTCTTTACTAAGCATAATCAAACAAAAGCATCTATAGTGAAATGTTTTAATCATATTCTTAAAACTAAAATATGGCGCTATTTTACTCAGCTCAGTGTTGAAAGATTTAGTCAGTGCCTATAATAGCTCGTATCACCACAGTATTAAAATAAAACTGATAGATGTTAATCACTCTAATCAGACTGCAGTGTGAAAAACACTCTACAAACCACATACAAAAGCTAAATTTCGATTCCTAGTGGGTGATGAAGTTTGAATTAGTAAAGCAAAACGTTAGTTTAAGAAAGGATATATGCTTGGATGGACAGATGAAGTAATTACAATTCACAAGATATTGGAGAGAATTCTCTCAGTGTACAAACTGCAAGACTATCTCGGAGAAAAATTAGGTGGAACATTCTACAAATCTGAATTGCAATGTGTTATCAAGTCCTCGAACGATCTTTATGCAGCAGAGAAAATACTACGTGAATGAGGAAGGTGTAAAAATAAACTATTTCGTTAAATGGAAAGGATATCCCGAAAAATTTAATAGCTGGATCCCTCCAGTCAGTCTGAATCGACTGCCATTAATAAATGTTATGTATAATTCTGTTTCCCATTATTCGACATGGATCAGTTATATGTGATGTTACCCAGCAATACTTCTATGAACTATTTTGCCAACAATAACTTAAATAATTATATCACACATCTTCCGACATCTATTAACCTCGAGGACTCGTGGGAAGTGGCTTTGGCTGAACTACAGTATCCACATAGCAACATCCTTATGCCTATAAGGGGTACATAGAAACACCACTGAGTTATAATGGAGAAGACAGTAGAAGCTATTTGACTATGTCTATGTGGGTAAAGGATAGGGTCTGTAATTTGGACAATCTCGACTTTAACGATGGAGATAATGATGAAATCAAAGAACAATACTTAAATACCCGAGGTAGTCAAACTGTCGATGAGATCGCCATTTACATTCAGAAATCATTTTGCAAAACGAGTTCTTGCCAAATTATGTTACTTTAAAACTACTCCTCATATGAAATAAAGATGCATTTGTCTTATGTTGAGTGATGAATCAGACTTCAAAGTTGTTCTATTTACGTTAGAAAAGTAAAAAATCAGTCCTTCAGTCATTCTGTCACATGGAACAGCCTTTCAGAAAGGAACTATTAAATATCCTTTGAAGTATATAGAGTGCAAATTATTTTCAATTCCTCGTGGAAACTTACAAGCATCTACTGATAAATCATCTTCAATTAAAGTATCTGCACGTCTTGTTGATAATAATGGATCTTGGCAGAAAAGTCTATACAATTTAAAAATTCACAGTGTCAGTTTAGTGACAATCAATGTGGACAGAAAATAAATTCCTGCTCGACCTTTACAACCCAATTTTGATGCTGAGCTGTATGAAGGAAGCTATGAAACATTATTTAGTAGAACTGGAAAACAGTTTCAAGATCACGAAATTGACACAGGATATGACGAATATTCGGAAGGATATACACTCTTTATATTTGATCTTACACCCAACCTATCAGCTGGTGATTCACATTTTAACATGGTGAAACAGGGAAATCTATGAATAGAAATACGATTTGGTAAAGCATTACTTAACTCTATAAATTTTCTGGCCTATGCAGAAATTCAGTCCATTTTATAAATTGTCCAGTCCAGAAACATCATCAATGATACCTAAAAAGTAATGAACACTGTATAGATTTATTCTACATTCTTACAAAATTTGTATACAAGAAAGAAAGTTGGAGGTGTGCTTGCCAATGATAAACAACCTAACTATGCACAAAACAAATGTACATCGTTAACTTGGATCCAAGCCATAAACCTAGAAGTCACTGGGTCTGTGTCTACTTTGATCGAAATGGGAAAGAAGAATATTTTAATCCCCTTGGCTTTCCTCCACGAACTCACAGCATAAGAAAATTTCTCAAGAACTGTTGAACATGGACTTACAATAAAAAGGTTGTGCAAGGACCTTATTCGACAGTGTGTGGACAATACTGTATATATTATAGCTATTACAGATGTAAACGTGTATCCAGACAAAAATTATTGTCCAAATATGTATCTAATAAAGATATAAATGATGTATTTATTCATAATTTTGTCACAGAGTGATTTAATGTAAAAATGCATTTACTAGATGTACCTTTTTATGTAGATCAAATATCAAAATCCTTTTTGTACAGAAATTAATAAATTGAAGACTTTGTCAGAGTGATTTATGTTATTTAAAAGATATTAATCTTTTTATATCACAATAAACTTGTTTTTAGATCACATGTTGAAACAAAAAAGATATCATTAAAATATTTTTTATTTGTTATACTGTTAAAGAACACACTTTTACAGAGAAAGTTAAATAGCTCTTGAAAAAAGTTCACCATTTTCAACAAAATCAATAGTATTTAAATTCCTGTACATTTAGTGTACTAGCTCTATCTGGAAACACATATA